CACAGTGTAGCTGACATGTTCCTTTTACTTGAAGATGTTCTACTGGTTCATTACACATTTTACATGTTTCTTAACAATCTCGAGGTTCTTAAGCTTTTGCTAACACATTATTCACTGGTTGGAGCAATTGTTGAGGAGCGCGATTTAGTGGACTTATAGGTGCTTTGGTCCCTTTCTTACGGGGTAAAAAAGGACGCCTTAACACAAATGTTGTAGTTTTATGGCAACAGTAGTGTTTAAATCACAGTGCAGGTTCGTTCATGTATTTTTGAAACCACACAAGATAAAACTGGTCACTTTTCTGCACAATTTGGACAGTGTTTCGTTCATGGTAGAGAAGAGAAATGTACCCTGATCAATTTCTACTGATAATCGTTAAGAAAAACATATCATTCTAACTGGTTTGTAGGGTGATATTGAAATATGAAGGGTTCAGAAATTCTGTACTTACGGAGAGGCTTCTGTGAACTGTCTGAAGGGCGACCTAACCTCAAGAGCAAAATAGAGACTGATCGGTGCCGGGAGAGGATGTAACTATTTAATACATATCCCGTAGAAGCTACGCCCCCGCAAAGGAGTCTTGCCTAGTATTGGGTAGACGTATTTAGCATTACAATATAGACTCAGTGCTGGGAGTTGATATGAATATTGAATAAACATGTATTCCCTTGATGTTATGTCCCCCTCCCTGCAAAAGAGTTGTTGCATTCAAAATTGTGTTCCACACTAAAACATGATTTGGAATGTGACAAAGTGGATGCATCTGTACATGTATTTCATTAGGGTGTTGAACACTGAAGTCCCAAAAATGGCCACATTGTATTATTCGTAAACATTAGACGAAAACGGTTACAGTGTCTAAATGTAAGATCTCTGTAGAAAGGTGGTTTCGTAATAAAAGTATGTCTATGAAATCAAACTTTCTCATGGCGTTAAGCTGTCCTTACCCTGGGAGGAGTTAAAGTGGACTGATCCAACTTCTTCGTCTGTGGATGTGGGTGGAGGTTTGAAAGTCAGTAGACAATGATGAACCAAGTAATCACTGAGGTTTGGGAGCTGGTAGACTAGTCATGTATGATGTACTCTTCTTTCACCCACGTACCTCTCATTAACGAAGCAGGCAAGGTGGTCGTCTGATGAGGGTTGTTGACTTAGAATAATGGCACCAGCTTAAAATTTTAAGAAGACTCAACGGTGCACCCTTGGAAAAGGCACTTAAAGCCTATATCGTTTGTTACATCAGGTGAAAGTGACCATAGACGTTATTTCCACGCAAATGTGTTTTGCTTACTACTGTATAGAAATATAGAGGTATAGAACGCTGTACTCCCTAAAATGGCCACATTGTATTAGTCATAAGATGTTACGAAAATAGGTTATAGCAGTGACATGTAAGGCGTTTGAAGAAAAGTAGTTTCGTCAAGAAAATCTATATTTTCAGAAATGTGATACTGAATTTAGAATTGTAGATGTTAAGCTGTCCCTCCCTTGGGAGGAGTTAAAGTGGCCTGATCCAACTTCTTCGTCTGTGGATGTGGGTGGAGGTTTGAAAGCGAATAGACAATACGTCTATGATGAACCTAGTTGTACTTGCAATTGAGGTTTCGAGGCTGTTAGACTATACATGTATGATGTACCTGGTAGTAATTGAGGCTTGGAAGCTGGTAGACTATATATTTATGATTCTTTCTACACCCACGTACTTCTCATCAACGAAGATGGTCTAAAGCTTTTGGTTAGGCCTGGTGATTTAGAGTCTAAAAGTACTGGGTTAGAGTTCCTGGTATACACCTAATGTTGTTCCCTTGAGAAAGGCTCTTTACACCTATTTGGATTGTTATCTGAGATGAATGTGAGTATCTATCTTTGGTTAGGGACTCTCTAGCAAAGCTGATTTTAATGGGAGTTTAATGGGTTATTGCTGTAGAACATATGCTAAAATCTAATGTTTGCATGTCGTTTAAAGGGTCAAAATACAAACGGATCTCAACGAAATCATCACTTATATTCCTTTTGGTTTTACACATATTTCAAAATTTTTTTCAACTGTTGTCAATGCGATCATGGAAACAAGTAATCATTTTGTAGAAAAGTGAACACCAATATTTCTGTATGTGTATCTGTATAGCAGGTATATAGCCTAATGTTTTTTAAAAATAAGGAAGGCAGCGCAAACTCTGTTTTTCTTCCCTTTTTCGCGAATTACAGTAATGTAAACTTTAAGTTTTTATTCATATTACTTACTATTCATATCTGGTCCCATAAATTCACGTAAAAGTCTTCCTCAGAGACTAATGAAAGAATATAGATACACCAGTAAGAGAAAGTTCCAGCATAAGAAGGATTTTGAATAAAACTTAGTAGACTATCAGTGTATTAGTGCTTGGGAGTTCAGATGGTTTCATCACACAGCTTGATTTATACACTATGAACTCTTATATCCTTTTTACAAATACTCTAATATATCAGTATTATAACAGATAAGTAACCGTTTAGTAGTAAGGCATATGACAAATGTAAGGAATTAAGCTAGATCAGAGGAATAAACTTTTTTCCATAACACATGGGAGGAAATATTTTTTATTCATATATCCAAGCAATACATACATACATTGAACCATCCATTACTGAATAATTCAAATCATAACAAATTGTTGATCATAACAATAATCATAACAATAATTCAAATCGTAACAAATCATTAATCATAACCATTGTCATAACAATAGTTCAAATAATAATAAATAATTGATCACAAATTACCATAACAATAGTTCAAATCATAACAAATAATTGATCATAACAATAACCATAGCAATGATTCAAATCATAACAAATCATTGATCATAACAACTGTTATAACAATAGTTCAAATCACAACAATTCATTGATCAAAACCATTGCCATAACAATAGTTCAAATCATAACAAATCATTGCTCAAAACAATTGCCATAACAATACTTCAAATCATAACAAATAATTGAACAAAACCATTGTCACAACAATAGCAAAGCCAAGCCAATAGAAAATAACAATCATGAGTAAAATGATAATAGATTATGTACATAGAAAGCCCAATTTTCCTCTGTGTTTGTCAGTCTTCCCTTTCCTTTTTGAAATGAGTCGTTGTGCTTTTTTCAAAGAAAACTATATATTTAACGACAGATTCCAAACTAAGTCTTTAAAACTCTCGATGTTTGTAAGTTTTTATTTATATTAGGTATTATTAATATCTGTTTACATTAAGACACGTGAAAGTCTTCCTAATAGATTAATGAATGAATATAGGTACACCAGTAAGAGAAAGTTCCAACAAAAGAAAGATTTTAGATCAAACTTACTACACTATTAGTGCTTGGGACGAGAGAGGATTTTATTCTTCACGTCTGTCAGATTGTTTTATACACCATTAACTCTTATATCCCTTTTACATGTACTCTAAGATATCAGCATTATAACAGCTAAGTAACTGTTTAGTTACATAATAACAAATCCTTGATAATGACAATAATCATAACAATAATTTAGAGCATAACAAATCCTTGATCATAACAATAATCAGAACAATAATTCTAATCATAATAAATCATTGATCAAAACCATTGACATAACAATAGTTCAAATCATAACAAATCATTGATCATAACAATAATCATAGCAATAATTCAAATCTTATCAAATCCTTGATCATAACAATAATCATAGCAATAATTCAAATCATATGAAATCCTTGATAATAACAATAATCATAACAATAATTCAAATCATAGCACATCATTGATCATAACAACTGTCATGGGAATAATTCAAATAATAACAAATCATTGATCATAACAATAGTTTAAATCATGAAAAATCATTCATCAAAAGCCATTGTCATAACAATAGTTCAAATCATAACAAATCATTCATCATAAAATGAATCATAGCAATAAATCAAATAATAACAAATCATTCATCATAACAATTGTCATAACAATAGTTAAATCGTAACAAATCATTGAACAAAACCATTGTCATAACAATAGTAAAGTGAAGCCAGTGAAAATAACAATCATGAGTAAAATGATAATAGAAAAATTATTTACATAGAACCCTCTGTGTTTTTCAATCTTCCCTTTCCTTGTTGAAATGAGTCGTTCTGCTTTTTCAAAGAAAATTATATATATTTAATGAAAGATTCCAAACTAAGTCTTTTTAACTCTCGATGTTTGTAAGTATAAATTTTGGTCAATACAATTATGACATTACTGATAATACAGATTATTTCATTATACAAATTGATTTATACACTATTAACTCTTATATCATGTTTACTTGTCCTGCAATATATAAGCATTAAAACAGCTAAGTAACTGTCTAGTAGTAAAGCCTCGGTCACAACTCGCCGTGCGTGCTTTTTGTCCGTACGTTTTTGTCGTGGCTACGTCTGCTACGTTTTTTCTGCAAACGTAGGGTGGCCGGCCGAGGGAGTACGTCACTCGCACGGTTGCGCAAGGTGTACGTACGTGGTCTGCACGACACGCCTGGCCGTCAGCGGTTGCGTGCATCGTACGTTGCGCAAGTGGTAAGTGAGTTGTACGTGCTTACAACGCACGATCTCTGTGCGATTGCTACGTTGCCGCGTACAGGCCGTACCTACACGTGCGGCGTACGCACGGTTTCTGCTTTTTCAAAACAAATTATGTATTTAATGATAGATTCCAAATTAAGTCTTTGAAACTCTCGATGTTTGTAAATATAAATTTCGGCCAATACAAATATGACATAACTGATAATACAGATGATTTCATTATACAGATTGATTTATACACTATATTAAGTCTTATATCTTTTTTACATGTACTGCAATGCATAAGCATTAAAACAGCTAAGTAACTGTCTAGTAGTAAGGCATTATAACACCAAAATGTAAGGAATAAAGATTAGAGGAATAAACTTTTTTTGTATAAAACATGGGAGGAAATATTTATGTAAACAAGCATTTGTCATGTAGTGGTTAAGGACGCACCATGTGGCGAGGAATGATAGTTACAGTGTAGGTATATGAGCTAATCACCACCAACTCTCCAAATGGTCCCATAGCGACATCCCACGGGCCTTTAATGTCCGCGATAGTGCGGACAAAGTCGCCCTGTCGTGTAAACATGTCAACCCGGTGGTTTTCAGTATTCGCCACGATGATGTGACCAGAGGAGTCAAGACAAATACCTTTGGGAGAATGCAGTTGGCCCTTAGCCTTTCCATATCTGCCAAATTCAAATACCTTTACTCCGGATTGATTGTACTTCTTGACGGTTCTATCCCCATCCGTCAGCAGGATATTTCCCTCCTTATCTGAAATGACTCCTCCGATCCCGTAACCCGTACGCAATTTTGAACTCCAAAAACGAGAACCGTTTCGATCAAACATCGTAATTCTAGATCCGTCTCCCACGATAACTTTATTGTTGCGTACGTCCATCGCAATGACATGATACGAGGCATGCCGTAGGCTTACGTCAAACTTTTTAATGGGATGTCCGTTCTTACTGTACTGTACGACATGTCCTTCATAGCATGTATAGGACCTCCATTGTTCGTAATGCCCCCTCCCCAGTACCCACAGGTAGCCAGGCACCACGTCCAAAGTAACACTATAAGGAAACATCGCCATATTTTTACCCGGCACAACGGTTGGAAAGAGGCGGAGGTAGGTCCCATTCATGCTGAAGACCTGGATTCGTTTGTTGGCATGATCAGTCACAAATATCTCATTGTCAGCAGACACGGCAACTCCGAATCCTAAGGCCCCCCCGATATTTCCCGGTTCTTCTCTCTGCCCACCAAACGTGATCTTCTCCGGCTTTACGTCACCACCTTTTGCCATGAGTAATAAAAACAGTATTTTCCAAAGTAAAATTTAAAACATATACATTCACACACGCCACACACACACACACACACACACACACACACACACTCAGAATCACACACACAGACCGTCTCTGTGAAATTTTGATATGGGCCCTGGTGCATATAGCTTCCCTTCCTCACCAAAAAAATAATCTTGTTCATTGTCCAATCCAATATCCTAGCATTGCCTCAGAGGGACCAAATCTAAGTTATTGTCTAATGTCACAGAGAAGCAAAGTCTTTAAAACATTATCAAATGACACTGAGGGACCAAGTTTAAAGCATTGTCAATCAAGAGTTCCGGGATCTCACACCTCCATGAAATATAGGCTTGACATGTAAATGTAAATTTCTTCTTTAATTATGCAAATGACCCACACATTAACATAATAAATGCATCGTGATGTTAACTTTTGATTAACTTACACATGTACAAGTATGAAATTCGCATCATTTACCACTAAGGAGTCATAGAAATTTCAGATTAATTATGAAAATTAGGTCCGTATTTGCATAATTGGTACCTGGTGATATTCCAGCTGATATAGTTTATAAACATTACATGTTTCAAAGTCCCATGATCCCATAAAACACTGGAATTACAGAATTTCCTCATTTATTATGCAAATGAAGTCATATTTTGCATAATTTGCATTCAATAATGTAAATCTTCGTCTAAGCTACCCACATACCAAAAATAATAAAAATACATTGTTTCTTTGTAAATTTATCTGCTCTGAAAGGTTTCGCCAGAAACCTTCCTGCAGTTCCAGAACAAACTGCTAGGGGGACCAAACCCACACCACTTATTACTGGCAGGAAAAGCTATCAGTCACTAAAAAGTCAAGACCATAGGATGTCCATGACAAAAGATACAAAAACCGGAAGTTTTGCTGCAGTGGCAAGGTCGGCCACCATGAGGCCCATATTTGACCTTGACCTTTGTCTTCCTAAGGCTTACCAACACACCAAATATCATCACAATCCATAAAGGCGTTCTGAAGTAATGCTGACTACAAAGTTGTGGAAACACACACTCACACACACATACACAGACAAACAGACAGACAGACTGACAAACAGAGAGAGGCACCAAAAACAATACCTCCATTTTTCATGGAGGTATTGACAAAGAGGTAACAAGTTTAAGAAATTGTCTAAAGACATAGAGGGACCAAGTTTAACACATTGTCTCTTGAACTCACCTTTGTGATGTGGGGTGTTGGCGACTGTAGTAACAGTGGTAGTAGCAGCAGCAGCAGTAGCAGAAGGAGCAGTAGCAGTACTAGCAGCAGTAGTAGTAAATGTAGTATTAGCAGTAGTAGTAGTAGTAGCAGTAGTTGTATCAGCTGCGGTATCTGTAGTATTAGTAGCGGCATCAGCAGTAGTAGTAGAAGTATCCGCAGTCGTTGCCTGCTGTTGAGAGAATTGTATTGTTATTACAGGGTATCGTAATTGGCTCATCGGTATCATGATAAATTATCTGAACCCTGTCTGAATTGAATAGCTGCAGGCCGATTTTGCACCAATTTCAGGAAATGATGAACGAATCGACAAGACTGTAAGACAGAAGCGTACCTGTGCGCTTAAGTATAACCAGGGAAAGACTCCAGTCAAGATGAACAACCCAAGAACGGCAGCCGTTACTATCGCTATGTACACTCGGCGACGCGTACAACCTGAAATATTATCATGTTAGTAGTAATCATAATGAAATGTTGGAACTTTATTCCAACACAATGAGCACACAGAGATCAACTTTTCAACTGTCGCCTTCATCAGGATGATTACTGACTAATCATCTGAAATATTGCAGATAACAGCAGAACTATCGAAAATACATGTAAAACATTTGTATTTTAGGGTATTGCGTTAGCAAGGGAAATGAATTCAGTAGGCGTGTAATACATAAAAGAGACATTACCAACAAGAATTCGGAGATTTCATACCTCCATGAGTTTTTGTAAATGTTTTTTTTATTTATCTCATTGACTATAGAAATAAGGTCGTGATTAGCTTAATCTAGTTTAATTAATGGTTTTCTAAATTCAAATGAAAATATTTTTCTCTCCTTTGTCATACTTCATTTCAACATGTCCTCGTTAATTATGCAAATGACCTCAACATTAACATAATATATGCATAGTGGTGTTAACTTTTAAGTAACTTTCACATGTCACAAAGAATAAAATTCTCACTATTCGCCAATAAGGAGTCACAGAATTTTCACATTAATTATGCAAATTACGTCATCATTTGCATAATTAATATCTGTTGATGTTCCGCCTGCCACAGATTAAATAGACTACATGTATAAGTACTTTTATATAAAACACTGTGATTATAGAATTTCCTCCTTAATTATGAAAATTAAGTCCTCATTTGCATAATTGCATTAATAATGTAGATCTCCGTCTAAGCTACCCACATACCAAAAATCATAAAAATACATTGTTTCTTTGTGAATTTATCTGCTCTGAAAGGTTTCGCCAGAAACCTTCATGCAGTTCCAGAACAAACTGCTAGGAGACCAACCCCACACCACTTATTACTGGCAGAAAAAGCTATCATTCACTAAAAAGTCAAGACCATAGCATGTTCAGGACAAAAGATACAAAAAACCGGAAGTTCTGCTGAAGTACCAAGGTCATCCACCAGGAGGCCCATATTTGACCTTGACCTTTGTCTTCCTAAGATTTACCAGCATACCGAATATCATCACAATCCATAAAGATGTTATGAAGTTATGATGACTACGAATGTGCGGAAACATAAACACACACACACAGAGACATACAGACGCACGAAAAACAATACCTCCATTTTGTAAAGATTTCTCTCCAAAAATCGGTTTATAAAATTGGTAAAGTTCTTACCGTGTGTTGCAAGACGCTGGACGTTTGGCGCGTACATCAGATTTGGATTGAGTGCATGGAGGACATCATTGGCGTCATTGATGCTGTTTAAAGCCGTCGCTGGTAGATTCTGGGAGGATAGGCTTGCATGAGTGTCTCTTGATGCTGTGTTCCACCCCACGTCACCCCGTACCATGTCTGCGGCAGCGTACATCGGATTTGGATCTAGTGCATGGAGGTCACCATTGCTCGACGGGCTGGTCGAGACGTCATTGATATTGTTTGATGCCGCCGTTGGTTGATTCTGATTCTGTGAGAACAGGCTTGTATGAGGGTATCTTGAAGTTGTGTTCCACCCCACGTCACCCTGGCACATGTATGCGGCAGCGTATGGTTGAATGACCTCATCTTCAGATGCGATACTGACTGTATATCTGTTTTTGGACGCAGCATTGCCACTATCGTCATCTTCATGGTATTTAACAGCGTAAGGCTGACCGCCATTACAGTTGAGTGGCCCAAGGAAGGGCTCCTCGTCTTCCTGGTGGTTAACTGCATTTCGTTGGATGCAGGGATTGCCATCATTGTTTGCTGAGTCACCAACAGTTTCATCTTCGTATTGAACGGCATATGGCTGGCCGACATCACAGTTAGCTGATTCGATGTCAATTCCATCATGTTTCTGATAAGTAACTGCGTACGGCTGGGTGTGGGGATTGTCCTCAGTGTTTTCTGGCATTTTGATTGAGACCTCATATTCTTTCTGGCAGCGTGTTACAGAATACGGCTGAAGACAATCGTTGTTAATGTTGTCAGCTGGTCTAAAGGAGGCTTCGTCATGTGCATCAACTGATGTCTGACTGTCATTGCTCTTATTTGACTTGGGTCCAGGGCTGGCGTTTGGCTCCATGGTGCTTTGTAGGTACATCGGATTGGGGTTAACGTCGTTTTTGGCGTACGTCGGATCAGGGCTCATGGCGTTATGTGTGTATATCAAATTCGGATCCCTGGCCTGTGTATGCACTATGCTATAGTCATTCCCCTTAAAAGCTGAAGTATCGGCGTTGGGGGACAAGGCTTCAGCCATGGTTTTGAGACCTCTTCGTTTTTTAAAACTTTAATCTGCATGATAGTAAGAGGAAATCAAAGTGACGTTGCAGTCAATTTGTACAACTCATTTCAGCAGCACCACATAACAGAAATATTCAAATTTAGGCCACACCGGCTTAATTTTATGGATGACTTCACCCAAACTAGTGCGCGCGGGCGAATAAAAAAAACCTGCAAAAAAACATGGTAATAAACCACAGGAATGCAAAGCTCTTGTATTGGGAATTTGTGGCAGAACGTGTACGACAAGGCGACACATGTCTTTTTGCGGAATTTATGAATCGGCACTGTACGTATTTACCGAGTTCTTGAGTAATGGAGCTTCAGTAGCCTGCACCTGGGTGTCATTTTCCAGAAATACCATGGACTACTCAGGTCTAGATCATGGCCAGAGCCTCGGAGAACGTGACTTTTTTTTTTTTGAGAACAGACGAAAATCAATGCGCGCGCGGATGTCATCCTTAAAATTAAGATGGTGTGGCGGCTGTAGCCCTACATACAAAATAAAAATCAAGTTCTACATTGTCATCTGACTACGTACATTTTCATGCGATGTCTTTCCCTAATACTAATAGGTTATCAGAGCGCAGCACATGTAAACACTTTTTATACTGAATATCGCATGGCTATGTGCACAGTGTGGCCTACTGAAAAAAACAAACAACTCTGACATTTGTCAACGTCACAGGCAGACGGAATCAATCCATTTCTATGCAGATGAAGCAGCGCACGAGCCATCTTCTGAGCTGATATACCAGACAATTCATGTCAACACTAAGATTAAAGTACGTGTTGACCTGTATGGGGTACGATATATAGTGTAGCTGGCATAATCGTTTTACTTGAAGATAATCTACTGGTTCATTTGACACATTTTACATGTTTCTTGACAATCTCAAGGGTATTTAGCTTGTGTTTTCACAATATTCACTGGTTGCGTCAATTCTTGAGGAGCACGATTTAGTGAAAGTATACTAGGCGATTTGATCCCTAGAGTACGCCTTAACACAAATATTGTGTTTTTATGGCAACTGTCGTGTTTAACCCTATCTAGACGGGGG